TCTCCTTAAATTTGATTGATTTGATATACCAAAATCTAACCATTCTTTATTGCTAAAATCAACACTTAAATTACATATATTAAATGAAATTATTGCAAAACATAAATTTAATTATATGACATGATTTTTGGAGTAATTGCATTTGAAAACAACTGTAGTCATTAATTGATAAAATGGCAAAGCCGAGTACATTTTCATTATAGATTGTGGCAGTTTTCTGTGAATTTCCTTTTTTAGAACAGTTCTTGGGTATGTTGCTTGACACAACTTTCATCCTTTCATTCTCTTTTTTTCGTTCTTCCCTTTGATAAAGTACTCTTACATGTATTGTAATAGTAATACTGCTTTCAGAGGACTGCTCCTCATCAGCCGGAAATTATTTGTTCACTTCCTGCTTGTTAAGTACATGAGCCTGCAAATGCAGACGGATTTCCTTGTGGGGCCAGTAACTGAACTCAGATTTAACGTAGGTTAAGGAAATACATGTACAGCTGGTAATGGTCACATTTCATAGCGAAAGCACTAGTACCACAAAGGCCAGAAAGAAATCAATGCTTTCTCATTTGAAAGTGGGAACAAAGTCTTAATCTGTGGCATAACAGTTTGTACTTGTAGTTGTTCACATGGACAAGGTGCGAACGTGAGTTGATGTTGTTGTCGTTTTCTTGTGAAAATGTTATTAAGTAGTATTCTGTTTTGGTTGCAGCTGTGGGCAAGTGACAGGTAGCAGAATAGAAACCATTATGCCCACAAAATAATCTTGAATTGCTCTGCTTGTGAGACCAGCATTAATTAGTTTGTATTCGTCTTTCAACATCAAACTTGATTCATTATTGTACATACATGTACAATTATAAGTTTAAGTTTAAGTTTAAGTTTAATAATACTTTGTCATGCTAGTACAAGTAAATAAATCACAGAAATTGCAAAAGTACATGACAGTCTGGAGAATAATTGGGGGAAACTAAATCCCCATACAAAGAATATTCTCCGATATTAAACATTCCAAAAAAAATTAAGAAGTGAAATGTAAAATTTAAGTGCGGCGCAAAACTAGCCTAATTATATTGCATACTAAACTAATTTGACACTAAAAATTATGAAATAAGATTTAAATACGGCTCAAAGCTAACCTAATTAAATTGCATACATGTCACTCACGAGTTACACATGATTTAAAATTGACACAAATGATCTAATAGATAGAATTTAAAACTGCTTAATGAAGGTGCATGCATAATGTTCGATGGAATATCGTTCCAGTCAGCTATGTAGCGATTAAAAAAAAAATGAATATTTAAAGTAATTTGTACCTGTCTTCTTTGGTCTTATCTTAAAATTATGGTTCCTATGCATTTTCGCTAATACACTAAAATCAAAAAACATATGAGGATCTATGTCACAGTGTCTGAAAATAATCTTGTACATCTGCACTAAGCAGATAAACTTCCTTTGTAACTCAAATGAAAGCCATTTCAGGACCCCAAGTCTCTCCAGATATTCTTTCTCTGATCCACAAATGACTTGAGTGGCTCGCCTCTGTATCGACTCAGTCTATACTTTTAATGTGTTTCACTAAATATGGATTTCAGACCTGACAACTATATTCCAAAATTGGATGTACTTAAGTCTTATATGCTATTGAAACTTTTTCAGGATTGTTTGGACCAAAGGTTCGCCTTATCAAACCTAGAACTTTATTAGCTTTAGCACAGATATAGTTTATATAGTAGTACCAAGACAGGGAAGACTCCAGCCAGACACCAAGGTGCCTTCAATTTTGAAAACTCTTTTCCAGGACACACAGTACCTACTATATAATTACTGTTGTTTATAGCGTCTGCATTTACTTGCATGTAGAGCAGTTATCAACTGAGTGTCGTAAAACCAAAACCAAGTAATCACGCTAGCAAATCATAAAGGACACAGAATACAGTGAACCAATCAAAACTCAGTTTTAAGTAAATACATGTAGCTGTTGATGTGAAGTGCAGGACAACATGTGTGATTGAGTCATGATTGGTTTTGGTTTTATTGCTGATTGAATGAAAAATTGGTGCAAGTTTTGCTAAACCAATTGTGTAGTGCAGTTATGAAAAACTGATTACTTTTACTTGAATGAAAACAGGACTAATGGATTATATTACTTTACCTAACTGTCTGACAGTAAATTGTGCTGCAATTTATTACAAAGTACATGTACCACAACATTACTTTAACTGTAGTATTGTAAATTTGATTTAATATATGGTCTCAGGTCATGTGACCAATCTCACAAACCTTACATTACAGTCTGATGGCTGTATCGTTAATTTGAAGTTCTTGTAGGATCTTATTTGTATCACCAGAAGTTTCTCAAATAAAATTATAAACAACAATATAATAATAATAATAATAATAATAATAATAATAATAATAATGATAATAATTTGTTAATTTATATTGCGCTTTTTATAGTTTTATAGTTTTTAAAGTTTGTAAAATGTTCAGAAGTGTTTGTCTGGCCTTTCGGAACAATTTTGGAAAATCTTCAGGAATCTTCGGAAAGTGATCGGACATCTTCAGAAAATGGTCAAAAACGTCATCATTGTTATGTTTATATAATAAACAATATTACATGCCCGCTTGTAGATATGAATTTTATCTTCTCGTGTTCAACTCCATATTTCACTCTTTCGCTGCGCTCACTCATGAGATATCGAGTTGAACACTCGAAGATAAAATTCATATCCATGCGTGGGCATGTAATATCCTCTATTTACTTAATACATTGTATTGTTTATACTTTTATTGTAATTTCCTTCAACAGGTGTCTTATCAGCTGAAGATTCTGATGACAGCTCTGTTCTCAGTTGCCATGTTGAAGAAGTCCATCGGCAAGGTTCAGTGGCTGTCTCTGTTCATGTTGTTTGTTGGTGTGTCTGTGGTTCAGTTGCAGCCTGTTGATGGTCCTGTGGCACAGAGTCCTGAAGAGACTCTCCCGACACAGAACCCTTTGTCCCAAACACAGAATCGATTGTTGGGTCTTTGCGCTGTTGTGGCTTCAAGTATGTGCTCTGGATTTGCAGGTCAGTTGAACGTTGATTGTGTGTGTGTTAATTTTAAATGGAAGATGAGCATTTGAAAATGTGATTAATGAACAGCAACTAGTGATGAACAGTCATGAATAAAGGGAAATAGTCATGGTTAACCAGGTTTTTACTTAGTAGTTTGGTTAGCTTAAAAAAACACTCTGATCACCATTTAAGTGCTGATTCCACAACAGCTACATGTAGCTCTCCATTGAAATTATTTTTGGCATTATGAGAATGACTAGACAAGTGCACAGTGTTTTTGCTGCTTGTGAAGTGTAACCCTTACAATTCTTGAGAGCTGACCACTGTGGCTGTCCTCTCTGCAGAGGCCTCTTTCATGCTGCCTTGACCATGTAGGCTGGTGGTTCAGAGGGTGGGAAGAGTGCTATTGAGGCTGATTTATTATACATCCAAAAAACATGAAACAACTTTGTAAGACTTGAAAAGTTGGAATTGTGTCCTGCAATGACCTTGAAAAGTCCTGAACGTTTTTAGGGCAAAAAAACAGTGTGAACCCTGTCAGCTTGATAGGCGTCCTGTGTTATGTATGTTGTATGCCCTATATGCTAATGCAGAGCAGCATCACTAGTAAGTTGTAAGATATGCTTTCTGGTAGATTATCGATTCCCAAGAGATAATAATTAATGGAGTGAGATGTTAACAGGAATTGGGTTTCACATAGCAATTTTACCTGTATTTATTTTTCTCCATTTTTCACATCTTTCTCAACAAACCTGTTACTGTATTTAACAAAGGGAGGTGATTCAAGTCTAATCAAGAGATAAATATGACATTGTTGAACATTTAAGTGATCGACCTTGTTTTTTATCATTCAGGTGTTTACTTTGAAAAGACCCTCAAAGGCACTCATACTCCTCTCTGGGCAAGGAACTTCCAGCTCGCCACATTTGGCGTCATCATTGGCACAGTTGGCATGTACATAAACGACGGAGACAAGATTAAAGAAAAAGGCATTCTATTTGGATACCACAAACTTGTCTGGGCAATTATTGCAATGCAGGCTTTTGGTGGGCTCCTGGTGGGTGTGGTCGTTAAGTACGCTGATAATATCCTCAAGGGATTTGCGGCAGCAGTTGCTATTGTGATTTCTTGTGTAATGTCTGTTTATTTATTCAGCTTCAAACTTAGTGTGCCGTTTGTCTCTGGGGCTGGTTTGGTGATGCTGGCAACATATTTGTATGGGATGGCTAAAACACCAGTTTATGGTGATCAACAAAGTGTTGTGAATGGTATTAGCAAAAGAAAGCCAGAGTGATGAGACAAATGTGGAAAATTATGTATCATTGTAGGAAACCACTTTAATATATTCACATGCAACAATCAGATGTTATATGACCAAATCTTCCTTAATTAAAAAGGGATGTTTTTATTTTGAAACATGCATAGTTGTCAGAGATTTATTTCAATACTAGCCAAGCCAAGGCCAACTTCATGTGTGAACTTGCATACTTTGGAAATTTGAGATTAGAAGGATTTGTATGGATGGGTGCTAAATTGGGATAACACAAGGAAAGATGACCATGATAACCGGGGGTACTCTACAAAGTTTTGTATCGCGGGGTCTCTGCCCCGAGGTCCATCCCCTTACCTTTCTGAATACCACTTTGACAAACAAGGTACCCCTTTCATTTGCCTTTTATTGAACAAAGGAACCTCTTTCACATATTCACTTAAGAACCCTGCATTTCTTTTCTAAACCCTTGGAATGAACCCTTAGAAGAGATGTTGACCAAAAAAACAAGTATCATTTATTCAGTTCCTGTTCACGATAAACCTATGAGGGATATATTTGTTTACAAACATTGTTTTTGTTATTTAAGTGTTCAAAGCGTTAAACAAATGAATTCTTTGTTTCACTAGCCAATAGGTCTCTGGTTGGCATATTAATAACAATAGGTGACGTCACTGATATCTTTTGCCATATGACAGATTTCTCTACCCTAAAATATACACCTCAACTTGTGAAATCCCTACCCTTTTATATACCTTAACCCTTTGAATACCAACTACGCATATATGCGTAGTTAATGATCGTGTTCTTTGTACCACTTGTGACGTCATCAATTTAAATGTCATTAGATA